GGTTCGTCAACTATATTAGTTCGCACCCCCGCATCTATAGATGAAAACGCGTTAGAACGTATATTCGCGGAATTCAGTAACCCAGGACGGAATTGCTATGTCTATGTGGGTAATCGGATGATTGCGGAGAAATTGAAGCGGTTATGGCGCCAGGAAAGGATAGGAATGGGGTACTCGCTAGTGCGGTGTTTACGTCAGGTAGAAACGATTACAGAACCAGCGGCACAACAGAATCTAGTAGCGGAGCACCATTCTGGGAAAACAAATCACCGGGGAGTAGAGGAGACTCTTCGTGCATTGAAATTGCTCTATTATTGGAAAGGTATGGGCCGTACCGTACGGGACTGAGTAGCGCAGTGCGAAGTGTGCCAAAGAGCAAAGTACGATCGTCAACCTCCGGTAGCCGAACAAGTAATCACCCCTACCGCTATAGAACCCCTGCGATCCATACAGGTAGACGTTTATTCCAACGAGGGACAATCATGGGTAACGGCGATAGACCCGTTCAGTAAAATTGCTATGGCCTATCCCATTGAGTCAAAAACCCCTGGGGCAGTTTGGGAAGGAATCTTGCAATGGTGCGCATTTTACGGTGTCCCAGACGAAATCGTCTCAGATTGCGGGAGAGAGTTCGATAACGCGCTAATTCGAGATGAGAGCAAGATATTGGGCATCAATTGGCGTTTGAACACCCCACATCATATTAAGGGAAGGGGCGCCGTGGAACGGCTCCACAATACTTTAGGGGAACACTTACGGTTGCTCAAGTTAGGTCGTGACCTCGATCCATTCGATGCTATGCCACGCGCTGTCATAGCCTACAATAATACCATTCATGCCGCGACGGGATTATCACCAGTCGAAATAGTGTTCGGACAGAGGCGCCGGGATAGAGGAGATCTCATCACGGCTAACAATAACGACCTTAAAGCTACCATGTATCAGGCAAGAGTAGGGCGGCAAACAATGTGGGCGAAAGTACGCGAAAAATTAATTCGTGAGAAGCAAACCCGGGTGGCTAAGGCAAATAACCGACCCATAGTTTATAGAAAGGGCCCGTTAGCGCTGGGAACCATAGTGTATAGACGATTACGCACCGCTCGCACTAAAACAGCCGCGAGGTATGAAGGACCTTATAAAGTCATCACCATACGGGAGAATAACCTATTTACCATCAGGGATGTAAATTACCCGTTTCGGTCACGTACGGTACACCTTGAAGAGCTTCGGGTACCTCAGATTATGCCAGAAAACGAGTCGGACGGCGGCGCCCAGCCTGGACCATCTCGGGGCTAGGAAGTTTTTCTTTTCGTACTTTCCATTTTTTTTTATGTTTTTACGGTATTGAGTAATTTCTGTTAAATAGCGTTATACAAGTAGAGTGAAAAATGTTTTTTTTTGTTGTTGTTAAAATCCATTGTAGATAGGTTAAGTTATTATATTTTAGGATATCTGTATTTGTTTTTTTTAGGTATAAGTATGTTAAGCAAGTGAATCTGCTACTTGGTGTATTATTATTTTATTTTTTCTTCTTCTGCTCTGCAGAAAGTGTTTGAGTTTGTGTTTTATGTTCTATTTTTTTTTATTTTTATTTTTAGTTATAAGTTCCTCCATACGAAGGAACTGGAGGGAGGGAGTTAGCTGAGTATAAACCATAAACAATAATAGGAACTGTGTTACTAATAAGATTAACAAAGCATTGTAAACGAAAACAAACCGTATCTATATATATTGGATAAGTAGATAATAAAGTCAGTTGCTCACGAACCTGTGTACTGTTACTATGCCCTAAAACCCCTTTTTTTTCGATCATTCTTTCAGTCTAATCGTAAGTTGTATATATATATATATATATATATATATATATATATATATATATATTTTATTTTGTTTTAAAAATACCCAATATTTTATTAGCATATTATTTTATTTTATTTATTATCATTATTATTTTTAACATTTGCGAATGTGTATATATATATATATATATATATATATATATATATATATATATATATATATATATATATATATACTCATATTCAAATCTGTTCTGATTAGATCAATGCTTATAATCTTAACGTATTCATAATTATAATTTAATGTTTAATAAAATTAAACGTTTATGTATACATCATTAAGAGTTAGCAAATACCAACTTTTTAACATTATCCCAATATTTTTTAAGAGATTTATTTAATAAACTCCTTACTTTCCAGAACTTTATTTTAATTTTTGCATACTTTTTTGGTTTTATATTGGAAAATACCTAAAGTAACAAATAAATTAAAATTTATTTAATAAATAAGAGTATTCAATCATAAGGTTGTGTGAAAATATTTCCATTCACTTCTGTAAATTTAAGCGTATTTATTTTAATAAATGTGAATACAGCCGTATTCACTTTTAAGTGGTGAATACGGCCGTATTTATATTTACTGCTGTGAATACGTATCGTCTGTATTCATGTTTCTTTTTATGAATATAAGTATATTCATATTTATATTCAATTTCCATAAATATAAATATTCGTATTTAGATTTTTGAATATAAATATGCCCATCTCTGCTGTGAAATCACTGTGTTCCAACAGTGACGGTCACTGCTCCAACAGTGACGGTCACTGTAGGCGTTGTGAAATCACTGTAAGCCAACAGTGACGATCATTGTGCTCCAACAGTGAAGGTCACTGCAGGCGCTGTGAATGACTGTTCGCCAACAGTGACGATCACTGTTGGTGCTGTGAAATCATAGCTCAGATCACTCCGAACTATCACTTCTTTTTCGCTTCAGCGATCTGGGCGTTGTTGACTTCATTTATTCAATAAATGAATTAAAGGAATAATCATGAAATAATTATTTCTTAATTATTTCTAAAATAATATTTTGTCATAATTTGTCAATAATAATAATAATTTGTCAAATTTTATTAAAAATATTTTTGAAGTTTGATGAATTGAACATTCATTGCAATATATTTCTGAATGAGTCATGTCTGAAATATTCAATTGAAAGTTTTTCATTAAACTGTTGAAATATAAATTAGAAATTATTTAAAAAATAAATAAATTCAAATATTCTCTGCAGGGTTGTATACAGAAACCAAGGGATCCCAGAGATATTTTCCGCTGTCAAATATAAATTTATCACAAGAAAATTTTTTTATTTATTTTAATATAATTTTGAATACGTAAACTATGATTTTACAGTGACGCTTTCGCCAAGGAGCCATTATATACTTATCTCCAAAAAAAAAAAACCACTGTAGTGACAAATCACTGTGATTTGTCACAGTGATTTTCCCGGAGCTGTCACTATCGGAGCTGTGACAGAAAATCTCTGTCACATCCCATCACTAGATAGGATTAAACTGTTGCTGGCTATCACTAGCGGATCCAGAATTTAATTTTGGGGGGGGCTTCAGCCAGAAACCTTTTTTTTCATAAAAATAACGATAATTACTTTGGAAAAACAGAAAGCAACTAATTACCTATACGAAATGGTGTTTAAGTTATTCCTTAAGTACTTTTAAATGTAATTACACGAACAATAATGCTTTAAGAGGTATTTTTTAAATTTTTTCCCCATAAAACATGGTTATATTTTTCCATTTTTTTGGGGGGGAGGAGGGGTTCAGCCCGAAAGCCCCCTCCCCCGTAGTTCCGCCCGTGCTGGCTATCCCCTACTACTCCAACTGGCTGCTTCTATCACGTCTATTTTCTCACTAAATTACCGCAACAAATAACTGCAGTGAAGCTGTAATATTAATAAGATATTACAAGATAAAATAACTGATAAAAGAAAAAAAAAATAGCAGGAAGGAATGTCTTCAAGTAACTATTTTAGTAATGTAATATAGCGAGAAGGCACTAGTTGAGCTCTTAACTGATGATAAATAGATAGATAGATATAGATAGATAAATAGATAGATAGATAAATAGATAGATAGAAAATAACTTTATTTTGGGACACAGTCCCTTGAGAATAACAAAATAGAACAGTTAAAAGATTACATCTGGCCTAAATAAAGTCAATTGAAAAAAAGAAATAATGTAAAGAAAATATAAGGTAAACATTCTATATACAAAACAAACGAAACTATATATAAAACAATTAATACTATGACAAGATTCTTAAAGCTATTTGCAGTGATAGACCAGTATACACTTTTAAGAAAACAATAAAGAATTAAAAAATAAAAATATATTAAATTCTTTATTAAAAAGATTTGTTTTTCTGTTGAAAAAACAGAAAGCTGAATCTGACACAAATATACTTTATTTGTGAGTGTGTTTTTTAATTTATGTGTTCATATGTGGTTTGAATTAGATTCATTATATTCCTAGATCCATTATATCACTATTCCTTATTTCTCAAAAGCGACACATTTTAATATTTACCCAGTAAACTATAAAAAATGTTTATAGAAATATAGTTCTTGGTTTAAAATTTGATTTTCTTTCTGAAACTACTCAAATAAGTTTATTGAAAGTTTTATTACCATTGTTAATAGAACTAGAAAATCATTATAAAATTTGTAGAAAAAATTATATGTAGTAACTTAACAATATAATTAATTAAAGTAGTATAATTTAATCATACTTGTTAAAGAATTCTGAAACTGAAATTTATTTTTTTAAAAAGGAGCAGCTATAAATTTAAATGAATAATAATTATGCATCCAGACTTGTTTCAACTGTCAGTCTATCAACTGCGTGCTGCAGTGTCTGATGCCATAAAGTGGGTGGAAATGTCGGCGTAACAATTAAAAATAATATTTTTTAAAATAATAATTATTGATAAACGTTTGAAAATAATAGAAGATAAATGCAAATTGAGGCATAGGTATAGGTATTGCTAAGGTAATTTATCATAGAATCTTAGAACTGGAATGGGTTTACAATCCTTCATAAATTCAACTGAATGAACAGCTAGTAGTAAAAAGTTAATAAAAAAAAAATTATTTTGTTTGCCGTTGTTAATTCTTTGTATATTTATAGGTCTGTTGGCAAAGAAAGCAGTTGAAGCAGGCCTCTCTGTCTTACCTTATGTAAAGACATCTCTTTCTCCAGGTTCTGGAGTTGTGACCCATTATTTACAGGAGTCAGGTGTAGTTCCGTATCTGGAAAAGCTTGGCTTCTCCATTGTCGGCTATGGCTGTATGACCTGTATTGGAAATTCTGGTCCTTTGCCAGAAACTATTATAGAAGCTATTGAAAAGGTAAAATCAAACTTACTTTTTTAACTTTATAAATATTTATAATTATTGCTTTATGCTATGTTTTTCGGCCATATGCCCATACTCATACTGTTACTGCCCATTGTCATGGAAAAAATTGATGTGTGGTGTAAGAATAGGGCCACCTCAGGCTTAGAATGAAGTATAATTCTTCTCACTGATGGGAGAACTAGTCTTTGCAAGTGGACCTTATAGTTCTGTTTGCGACCCCTGACAGCTAACCTGAGGATGCCGCCACGTATTAATCAGAGTGGGCATGTCAAGATTTGTTTCTCAGCGTGCCAAGAAAGAAGTATTAAGTAACCCAGGTGGGAATCAAACCTGCAGCATTCAGAACCAGGCACTCAGGGACCCACTCCCCAAAATGCTCGGGAATCACGTCCTCTATAATCCTATATACATTGAGCTGAAGTATGGTATATAAGTCTGTTATTATTATAGACCTTATTATGCTTAAAATAAAAAAAATATTACAATTTAGAATGAACTTGATTCAGGTTTAAACATCTATACAATGTTTTTAAAATTACAATTTTTTCTCAGTTATCAAATTACTAGAGCTTCCAAAATTCTGAAAGGATTATATGTATTGTATTGAAATTTAATTTAAGAATTGTTTTATTTCTGTAAACCAAACTGAAAAAAAATTTAGACTGCTCTATTTAAATTTTAAAATAGCTATTCAGTATGATTAACTTGTTTATAAATATATTCCTTAGAATGAACTTGTCTGTTGTGGTGTGCTGAGTGGAAATAGAAATTTTGAAGGACGTATTCATCCAAACACAAGAGCTAACTATTTGGCTTCACCACTGCTTGTTGTGGCATATGCGATTGCCGGTAGAATTGATATAGACTTTGAAACTGAACCTCTTGGTAAGTATGTAATATTTTATTGACATTCAAATGTATAATTGTATAAAATTTGTTTATGGTTCTTTCTTTTCTTATGTGTCAACTGTTGTATTCATGTTATTTATGTATAAAACGTAGGGACTTAAACTAAGATAATTTTTAATATTGAAGAAATAAGAAAATATGTTTAGTCCCATACAGGGTTGGATTAGCAATTTGGCAGAATAACAAATGCTATGAAGCCCACACCTTGAGCAGAAAATGTGGGGTTTGTAAAATTTTATAGCATAATTTTTATGTGCTGTTAGTGAAGTTCTTTAAATGTATGTTAAGATTTTAAATGTATAAAAAATAGTTAAAGAAGATGATGGGACAACATCCTCAAAACAACCTATCATTAATGAACTTTAAAAGCTTAATTCACTTAGAAAAGTTAATTTATCTACTACTACCTCTAAATTTGTTTGCATTGAATTGAAAAAAGTTCATTTATAAAAGTTATGTTTTATTTTACCATTGTACAAAACATAGACCCTCATGATAGAAGCTAAATGAGAATTATACAACAAATAAATTGAATCAGTTAACCAAATCGACCATATACTCATAAGTGAGAAGAATAAGTCGGATCTAATTAACGTTAGCTAATTTAGAGGAACCAATATGGACTCCGATCAATTTGCAGTAATTAGAGTCCTTATCTCAAACGTTAAGACAAAAAAGTATTACGTTGATGGTCTAAGATCAGAATCGACTCAGAAAGATTTCGCTTAGCCCATTGAAGGCAATCTTCAAGAAGTAGAGATATATGAAACTAGTGCTATAGACTTTAGATGGGACGAATATTGCAAGGTAATCAAGCAGGTGGCTGAAGATATCCTCGGAGAGGGGGTGAGAGAATCCAGAACCCAATGGCTTAATGAGGAATGTAAGGTAGCCATTGAAAGAAAGAATTTGGCATATAATAGAATGCTCCAGAGAAGAAGCACGCTAGCCTCTCTCAAAGAGTACCGCCGACTAAGGAGGGAAGAAAAGCATCTTCATCAAAAGAAGAAGAGGAAATGGGAGAATGATAAAATTGTGTCGATAGAAAGCCTCAGGTTTTATAATCAGATCAGGAAGTCAATACTGGAAAGAAGTCATTCAAGCCAAGGTTTACTGCCTGCAGAGCCGAGGATGGATCCCTTCTAACTGAATCAGGTCAAATATTGGCTAGATTGAAACAGCAGTTTGATGATCTCCTGAATAGCAATCATGAAGTAGAAGGCACTGGAACCTTTATTATAACTTGGGCAGCAGATGGTGAGCTTGAACCTTCCGATGGCGATGAGACCACTGACGCTGTCAAAAGGCTAAAAAACAATAAAGCACCAGGCCATAATGATATACCAGCCGAGCTATTTAAGTATGGAAGAAATACCCTTAGGAAAGTGATACATGAACTGATCCTATCTGTCTGGCTGGAAGAATTGCTGCCTCTATTGGCAGAGAACTATTATCTGCTCTATTCATAAAAGCTGAATTTATTAAGATATTAAGATCAGCTGGACTGAAATAATTACAGAGGGATCTCTCTCCTTCCAACTGTGTACAAGATCTTTTAGCTTGTCTTGTTTTGGCGTCTTCTCCCATTCGCTGAGACAGTAATTGGTGACTACTAGTGTGGTTTCCGTCTGGGTAGATCTACAACAGACTAGATCTTCTCCCTCAGAATGATTCTCGAGAAAGGAAGAGAGTATTCACTGCCAACACATCACCTATTCATCGATTTTAAGGCGGCCTATGACAGCATTAACAGGAAACAACTATATAATACAATGGATGAACTGAAGTTCCCTAAGATCCGCCTAGCTCAACTCACAATGAACACGGTGGAACGTAAAGTGAGAATCCAGGCTGGGATGTCAGAGGAGTTCTGTACAAGAAAAGGGGTAAGGCAAGGAGACTCGTTGACCAGCCTCCTGTTGTACATAGCACAATGTAGAACTTGAAAAACTTGTCAGAGACGCACGAATACAGCTGGGTGGGACCATCTTTAACAAGTCAATACAAATCCTAGCATACGCAGACGATATTGATATGATCAGGAGATCACTTTGCAGCTTTAAGAAGGCTTTTCTGGCTCTCGAACAGTCTGTGCGGAAGATGGGGCTGTCTGTCTATAAATGAGAGCAAAGGCAAGTACATGGCTTCTGGCATAATGCACCAATCCACGGATCTCAATTTGTGACTACACAATCAAAAGGGTCCAACGATTTGTTTATCTGGGCTCCTAAGTAAATGCTGACAATGATGTGTCAGAAGAAATATCTGAGAGGATCCTGGTGGCAAATAAATGTTATTTTGTCTGCGGTGGTATCTAAGTAATTGCTTAATCTCCAGGAAAACAAAAGCGACTTTGTACAAGACTGATTCATCCTGTCCTTACATATGGAGCGGAAAATTTGAGCTTCTCCAAAACAGATGAAAACAAGCTGTTGGCCTTTGAAATAAAAGTTCTACGTCCCATTTATGGACCTATGCAGAACTGGCCACCATACATAATGATACGGATGTAGTCTGGTTCATTAGAATACAGAGTTTAAAATGGGCGGGTCATCAGCAAAATTATGCTGATGCGTCCAGAAAGGAAAGAAGAGTTGAAAGGCATAGATTGCGCTGGATGGATGGGATCAACGCGGATGGTAGAGCTTTACTTGGACTAGCTATCTGGAGGAGAGCTGCAAGAAAGAGAGACCAGTGGGGGAGACTAATTGAGGAGGCCAAGACTCAGCAATGAGTTGTAGTGCCCATGAAGAAGAAGAAAGGAGCGGGGTAGCTCAGTGGGTGAGCACTGACTTCCAGAGCTCAAGTTCCCAGGTTCGGATCTGGCTGATGACTAGTAATTTTCATCAGCCGTGGGTCGACCCTGGGGCAGGGAGACACTCCTGAGGCAAACCCAGCCTCTATAAAGTGGGCACTATTAATTAAATGGGGTTGAGCTTGATATTGGCCCGTCACCTCCCTGCACAACCGTTGGCCTTGTAAACGTACTTCCTCACATTGTACTGAACTCATAACCCTTCATGGGTTGTTTGTGGTACAGGTTTTATTTATAAAGCTAATTAATACTGTAGACTATCCACAAAACGCTTTATACTATCTGTATTTGTATGACCACCTTTCATTGAGCCTTTAATTACGTGTTTTTTGAATTCAGTTCCTCCAGAAATGACGTGGACGAAGCCCCTATATAACATGACAAGTTAATGTTCACTGAACATATTAATTACAACATTAATGATGAACATATAATGGAGGACTCATCAAGATTTGAAAATAAATGAAGAGTGTGGTCGAAACATCAAATTAATGAGTATCAATAAAATGTTGGTGAAAATTGGCCTAATTTATTGTTAAAAATAAAAAACTTCAAGGCACCAAAATTAGGAAAAATGAACAGAATTAATTCATTATCTTTTCAAAGAATATTAATAAAATATTTATCTAACAAAAATTTAGAGTTAAACTATGTTTAATTAATATGGGCTGCCATATTTGCTAAGGTATTGAATTAGAGATTTTTTTCTTGATATTTGACTTAACTTTCACTAAATTTAATTAAGGTAAAAGACCTGACGGAAGTGATGTTTTCTTGCGGGATATCTGGCCTCTCCGTTCAGAAATCCAAGAAGTAGAGAAGAAGACAGTAATACCTGCTATGTTTAGAGATGTCTATGCAAGAATAGAGAATGGTTCCAACAGTTGGAGGTCCCTGAATGCTCCTGACGACCAGCTGTATCCATGGGACCTTACGTCTACTTACATCAGGAAGCCTCCATTTTTTGATGGAATGACAAGAGTAAGTAACTTTTATTTATATTAAATTAAAAATATTTCTGCTATTATTAAATTTTTATTTGACCTTGTTTTAAAAATAATTTACTTTGTAAAAGCGCTTGATCCATTTCAAATACATAACTATGTATCGTTGTATTCAGGATACTGAGGTAGACTTCAACTTAGAGCATTTGATTATTTTTGTCAAGTGACACTAGTATTTGGTTGAAAATTAGTGAGAATTTTCAGCCTGAAAACACAGTTGTCTTGCTTAAATGTGAATTATTTAAAAAGTAATAATAATAAATAAAATTCTGTTATCACTACTTTTTGCCAGAGATGGCCAAATGCTTATGTGAGTACTGAGTCCCGAGTATTTTACTCTATTGACCTCCCAATTCTGATTCAACTTGCCGAAATCTGAGTATTTTCCTCAAATTTGAACTGCCCAACTTTGAGTATTTTACTCAAATAGATGTCCTGCGCCACTTTGAGTACTTTACTCATGGCTTATTATAAAGTTTGGTTGTAAGTACCATATGCCTGTAGTTAAATATATAAATTATATTAATAGATGTGTCTTTGTTCTAATTACATAAATAATTTTTTTTTTTTGTGTGTCCTCTCCTTCCTCGCCTTTAAGGCTATACGGGGTTTCCCGGGCCAGAGAGTGTGGGCAGGGATTTAAAAGACTCTACCGCCGTATGTGAACTCGTGACTATTTTAAATCCATTGTCTCATAGATCAGGTTGCTGGGCAACGGCGGTGTTGTGCACACACGTTAGCCCATTCGGCCACCCCGCTGTTAAATATAGGGCTTTAATTGTCTAACTCATTACTTACAACAAATTTCAGATTTCTTTTTTAATAATAATATTGACATTACGATCCTGTTATACGTATAGATGTTTATTAAAAATTCTCATGTATTTCTCTTGCCTTAATTTCTTCTTGGTGTTCATTCTTTGATGTGATAAGAGCACCCAAATATTTAAACTGGTTTGCTATCCTGAAGGTGTGGCTTCCAAATTTAATCCTTTCTTCCATTCTTTCTGGTGGGTTTCTTGTTGACTTCATATATACAGTCTTTTCATCATTTACATGGAGACCTAACTGTTTAACAGCGTTTTCGAACTTCTCAAATGCTCCCAATAAAGATGCTCTTGATCTAGCCGATATTACCACGTCATCTGCATAGGCTAGATGCTGTGACAATCTATTATATATCGTGCCATGAGGGCTTGTCCGAATAGCACATACAGCATATTCTAAGGCTCGGTTGAAAAGAATTGGTGACAAGGGGTCTCCCTGCCTTAGGCCGTCCTCAACTGCGAACTTTTCTGATAGTGCTCCTTGTATCTTAACTTTACAACTACTATCAGTCAGTGTCATCCTTGTTAATCTAACTAACTTTTTCGGTACACCAAAAGTGACCATTGCTTTCAATAACTCGCCTCTATTGACACTATGATAATCCTGTTTAAAATCAATGAAAAGATGATGAAGATCTACATTATATTCATTGCATTTTTCCAACATCTGTTTGGCAGAAAATATTAGGTCAATTGTAGATCTATTTGTCCTGAAACCGTATTGATACTCACCAAGAATACGTTCGGACCATACTTGTAACTTTTTATTTAGGAGCGAGGAAAATGCCTTATATACTAACCCCAAGAGAGATATACCTCTATAATTTTTGCATTTAGTTCTATCTCTTTTTTTGAAAACTGGACAGATAATAGCTACCATCCACTGTTTCGGCATTTTTTCTTCGATCCATACCTCCAACAACAAGTTGTATACTTTCTTTAGTAGGTCCTCTCAATGGTATCATATGGTAGGTCAATGCCATCATTTCCTGGACTTTTATTGTTTTTAAGTGTTTCAACCACTTCCACGAAATCCTCATAATCAGGAGGCTCCACATCATCTTCGCCACTCAGCATTTCCTCTTGTGTACGCCCATGCAGCACATTCCTCACTGTGTTTTCATCTCCATTCAGAAGTTCCTGGAAATATTGTCACCAAGTATCCAATACCTCTGCAGTTACTTCCACCATGTTGCCTTCTCTATCTTTGCAAAAACCTGTCCTCGGTTGGAAACCATGTCTAAATTCTCTGATCCCCTTGTAAAACTTTCTGGACTGTTTTGTTTCCCATTCAGTTTGTAACATTTCCACTTTGCTCCTTTCTTTTAAAATTCTCATATACAGTTTTATAATATGTTTTTAAAGACTTGTCAAAGCCCAATAGTGTAATCTCAAAATGGACATCATTTTCAAAAACAACGGTTCCAAAAACATATAAATAGACCCTGATATGAAAGAAACCTGAAAAAAATTATGTGTGGTCTCATGTGGAAATATGTGGTCTTACATAAAAAAGTTTCTAACTAATAGGGAATTTTCAATAAAAGTAGGAAATACTTTTTCGTCAAGCCTTACAAAGGGCTACCCCACAAGGATCTCCTCTTAGTTTGACTCTATTCCTTCTAGTGATTAATGGTATAGGGTCCTCTATCAAGACTGCCATCAAATAATTCCTATTTACGGATGATATTGTTATCACAGCCTAAAGCAAATCTATTCCCTCAAACATAGAAATTAATAATGAATAATCAACTGGGGCCGGAGTGGCTGAGCGGGCTAACGTGTGTGCAAAATATGTGTTGCCCAGCAACCAGATGATTAACTGAAGTTTACAAGATATAAAATAATTATGAATACACGTCATGGTGTGGACGACTTTTGTCTCTGACATTAATCCTCCGCCTTCTCCCATGGGACGGAAAAATCCCTATATAGCCTAAAATGCGAGAAAGGGATTGACAAAAAAAAAGTGATTATTTTATTGAATTCTACCTTTCAAATGAAAATTTTTAAACAATTTTATGAAAAAGTGAGTATTTGATCACACAGGTTATTCACTTTTTTGTCTCCCACTGTAGGAGCGGCTTGAAGGATTGCATGCATCCCATTGTAGAGTAGTCTATGAAAGAGTCGTTTTGTTACGTACGCAACTCCATATGAACATGATTTGATTCAGGAATGCTTGGTAACTTCAAGGTAACCTGCTGATGTGTACATCACTTCGCTTTTGAGCCTCTTGCATTTTGAAGATTCATTGGTTTCATAAGATAAAATTAGAGTTCTTTTTTCATCTTTCGTCAAATTTTCCAATCATTTCTATTTCTCTCACTATCTGGAATTTGTACTACCTTTAGACAAAAATTAGTGAGAAGATAATGAAAAAGGTCAAACTGGAAGCTAGTAAATAAATGAAACACTATTTATACCATTACACTTCATAAAAAGTCTTCTGTTTTTCTTTACAAAATACTGTTTCTAAGTCAATATTTATGCAAGAAGGTGATTAAGTTTTTAAAGTAATTAGTTATATACAATTGCCAGTACTTATTGTTATACAATACTTATGGGTCGTTCTTCCATTTTGGTTTGAAATTCAAGTTTTAAATTTCATGAAACAAAGTATAGTGTAATTATAATTTTTTTTTTCATGATTCACTTCAGATAGTGATGAAAAATCCATGCAGAGATCAATCTCAGTTAAAGTAAATGATGATGATTTAAATCATGAAAGTGAGGAGGCAACCATTCTGGTCCCGCACTCTACAGTATTTTATATGTCACAGATGAATTTATAGTTCATATTGAAAATCTTATTGAAATTTAAAGTTATTAGGTGAATATAGGAGTGTTGAGGATAAATAAAAATATTTAAAAGGCATAAAATTTTACTACTTTTCATTAAAATCTTTGAATTATATCATATTATCCCTGCTTTACAAGAGGATCCTGATCATACAATGTTCAATTGCTCAGAACTCCAAACAAAATGTCTAAGTTCGCCACTGATTGCATGAAATCAATTTTCATTGCTTTTGGTGATGTGAAGTGAAATAGAAATTTGAAGTTTTATTAAGATTTAATTATCCCTATCCATCTCTCAGAAAAAACAAAACTGAAGCACGGAACCTCTAATGAAACATATTCAAACATAAAAAATAACATAAATAAAATACATCATGTCAAAATAACTGTGTGAGGGAAATTGAATTATGAATGACTATACACTAAACATAGCAATACAAATTAACTGGAGAACATTAAAACTGGATGTAGATGTAAATCAGGTTATCCTTAGTTTGGTAGCAGAGTGTGAATGTGATCTGTGAACACTATTATAAATGTCCTTGAAACAGATTGTAATATTTTTCAATAAATAAGCTAGTTTGGTAGGAACGTCCTGCAGTTTACTAACCAAGAAAAATAAATATATAAAGCTGTGGAAGACATTTTCATTAACTGGAAGGTAAATAGATTAAGTGTATTGGACAGAGGAATTATAATTTTTTTCTGTTTACTACTAATCCGGTTATTTCTTATTAAACTTAATAGGTCATATTACCAAAGTCTAATTTTTCTAATGAAAAAAAAGGAACTTAATAATAGTGAATCTGTTATTTTATTTATCTTGTATATTACTTTATATTTTTATTTCTCTCTCCCTCTCCCCTCCCCTCTCCTCCCCTCTCCTCCCCTCTCCCTCTCCTCTCCTCTCCCTCTCCCTCTCCCTCTCTCTCACTCTCTCTCTCTCTCTCTCTCTCTCTCTCTGTAAATATATATATATATTTTTTTTTTTCTACTTCGGTTATTTATATTTTTTTTTCTTTGTTATGTACATATTGTGTGAATCAATACTATAGCCGTAGTACCAATGCCCTTCAGTGTGGCAGACTGTATTAATACTCAATAAAACCATTGAAAAAAATAATAAAAATAATAGTGAAAATAATTAACTTAAATGCCATCAAAATTGCCAAATTGTGTTTTGGGACTCATGAGGGAATTAGAACTTGACAATTTTAATTTAAGTTCAACCATGAAAATAGATTTATTCCTTTGATAAAAATAATCAAACTCCAAGCTGAAAGTATCTAGTACACATAGATCTATGTGCACAGTCAGCATACTAGCAATTTCATACTGAAGCCAAAATTTCCTTGGACTCGGGACATTGTTTTGTAGCAATTGATGGAAATGCCCACATATTTTAATAAAGTCGGGCATTAATGTATGGTGTACTAAATCAAATATTTATTTTGCCATTATATCATGACCAATATAAAAAAACATCATATTTTTATGTCTCAAGATTATAATTCTACATTTCTGTTATTGTTTAAATATTTGTTCTGAATAGGGTTTGAATATATTTTGAATCTAAGCTAATTTAATTAAAACTCCTTGTTGATATTACTTACAGGATTTACCAGAGATTAAGAAGATCAAAAATGCAAAAGTGCTACTTTTCCTCGGTGATTCGGTTACCACAGATCACATTTCACCCGCTGGTAGTATCTCAAGGAAGAGTCCAGCTGCTCGCTATCTTGCTTCTAAAGGGTATTTAATCGTTCATATTCATTTCTATTCTTTACATGTTATATTATATTTTGTTTAAAGAAAAATTTGTCTTACAAAAATTGTATTTTATTTTCAGACTCACACCTCGGGAATTTAATTCTTATGGCTCAAGAAGAGGAAATGATGAAATCATGGCTCGAGGAACTTTTGCGAATATAAGACTTGTTAATAAGTTCCTCAACCATGCTGGTCCTCAGACAATACATTTTCCCTCGGGAGAAGAGGTAATATATTTCTTCCATTCAGTTGAAGATACCAAGTTGTATTAATTACTTTGCCAACCAAGCAGTATTTTATTGTCATTTAATAAAGTGATATTATTTAGATGGATGTGTTTGATGCAGCTGAAAGGTACAAGAGTGAAGGAGTACCCCTGATTGCTATTGTAGGAAAAGATTATGGTTCTGGCTCATCTAGGGATTGGGCTGCTAAAGGACCATTGCTTCTTGTAAGTTTTATTTTTGTAATTTATAAATTCTAAATAGAACAGGGAAGCATATAATTTTTGCAACCAGAAATAGTCTAAGTTTTATGAAAAGTATTTAATATTTCAATTTTATTAATTTAGTTTTGGGCTAGTTATGTTTTCTGTTCGTTTGTAAATGTTTTTACTTTCAATTACCTATATATGTAATATATAGTGCGGGAAGTTGCATGAAACTGAAATCACATATTCAAGGGAGGTATATGCCTGAGAGGTTATAGCATCTTTTACCTGAAAAATGACTTGGTGAAAGTGCCACTTTATATCATCGGTTTTACACGTTTTTGCAATTTTATTGAACACGACTCTAACAATTTTGATTAAATTCATTATTCATAACATTAAATTAATTGATTTTTAATATAATGCAGGTCTTATTCTCATTGATGTTCTAACAGAGCTTTAATATCTAATTTTCTAAATTTTTCCTCTAAAGTATCTTTAATTTTTTTAATTTAAAATAACTAACCTTCTTACATTGTAACCTGCTAAAAAAATATTTTATATAAAATAAGAAAGTATTTGACAATGGAGAAATAAAGAATTGTAATAGAGAACTTAAAAAACCTCAAGCTTTGCCAAAAGGTCAGAATAAGTTTCCATACGTAACACATGCTTAATAAAATATGGGCTCTGATAATATTTTTTTTTTATTTGTAATCGCCTCTACCCTAGAGGGTCATTGGCGGCTAGTTTTCTATACTCTATTGTAGTATTTTTTCTCTATTAAGTATCGAAATAGGGTGGTGACTCCATCTTTGTTGTCTCTTAATATCTCTTTCATTTCTGTAGGTAGTTTAAATTTTTTCCGAATGTTGTTGAATTCGTGGCACTCTACTAACAGATGTTTTACTGTCTGCGGTTTATTGTCACACTTTTGGCATGTGAGTGCTTCTAGTCCTCTGAGAAGGTACCCGTGAGTAAACAGGCAGTGACCAATTCTTATTCTACACAATATGGTTTCTTCTCTTCTGGATAATATTATATACATATACATGTGCAGTTTTCATAAATGTTAGCATAGGTATTATTCAATATTTAAATCTATACATTACAACAACTTAAAATACCTACATATTATATCAGCTTCTCATATTATATCAACGGTCAACCATCTCTACATCATTATAAAATACCTACAGTTAAAATATAAACAAATTTAGCGGCCTTCTTTATCAGTGGGACTGTTGTTGGTCTAAAAATATTTTGTAGGACTTAATTATTTATTATGATAAAATAAATAATTATAACATACAGTCTTAAAAGGAAATAGTTAGTGAAAAAAAACATAAATATAATATATAGACGGCTGTGAACAACATATTATGGGAGTTAATTGTTTTAAATAATATTTTGTACCATCTGTAATTTTTACTTTCACTTCCCTTTCTCATAAAATACCTATTTCTGCTAAACAAACATTGTGTGATGTGCTCACCACATTTTTTTCTTAAGTTTAGTTTCTATTGTGTAATTATGTTACTATTATATTTTTTTTCCCAATAATTCTTATTGTAACATGTTAAACCTATTATATGATTCTTATGTTTTTGCTTATTTCTCTGATAAATATTTTTTTCAATCTTTCAGACACATTTTTCTGAAATATTTTTTTCTTAATCCTTTTATTTTTATATTTAATTTTTTTTTAATTCACTTTTGTTTTGGCCAACCAATTTTGGAATTTTAATGAATATGAGTATTTAGTATTGATTTTAAATTCATAAAAAAATATAATTAATCTTGTAATGTCAAATTCATTATGGCCAAAATTTGTAACTTTCAGAGATTTAAATACTTAACTTATAGTTCATCTCATACATATTTGTTGTCTTGCCAAGCTCCAATATATTTATGGATATATACAATATAAAATCGGATATATTTACATCCGTTAACTGATTAGAATTATCCAAACTTTAATTCAGTGCTCCTGTGGCAATCGAACTTGTGCTGTCACAGCATGTAATTCAACTGATAAGGACAGCTAATTTGAAACCCCTATTCACATCATACCATTGATATTATTTTCTAATTCACATCTGTTTGTCAACCATTTGCCATTAATTTTCCACTTGATAAAAGATCTGTTTTATTAGCATATTTTTATTAATTCTAAATAGGTGGATTTTTACTTTATCTGAAAGTTTTTTAATTTTCAATTAATTTTGATTACTTTTAATTAAATTAAAAATATATACCTAGATTCTTTCTTTTTTAATATATAGCATATTCAAATCTTTTCTGGTATACTTTTATTGAAAGAAGCTGATATTTCCAGCTCCATACAGTGCTTCTGGTTTCATCGTAGTTTTATAGTGCCTAACTTTTTAGTTCCTGAACAAGAATATTTGTTATACCTCATACATATAAATAATAGTTATATAAGTAATGTTTAATAAAAATTATGTATTATAAATTACTTATATAAATATGTTCTCAATTTTAGTATATAAAGATCTTCAATGAAAGATAAACGGTGATCTATAGTCCCTTAATTCCCTTTCAAAGCCTTTTCATTTTTATTATAATTAGGTAAAAATGAGAAATAATCTTTTTTATATCCACAAATATCCTGTATCAGTTTAATATGTAACCTAGGCAATAGTAATCTTATTGAGCCATTTACTGAGAACTAACACTAATCTGGTATTATCTGTAACTAATAGGGAATTAAAGCTGTTATTGCTGAATCATATGAACGTATCCATCGTTCAAACTTAGTCGGAATGGGAATTGTTCCTCTACAATTTCTCGAAGGACAGTCAGCTGAATCTCTTGGTCTCACAGGAAAGGAAAACTATACCATTAACTTACCATCTGATCCCAGACCACACCAGAAAATCACTGTTGAGGTAAAGTAATTCTTTATGGTAAAAATAATTTTTATTATTTTCTATATTGTTTCATTTTAATCAGATTTTAGATAGAATAAGTGAGGATTGATTAGTCAAAGTTTTTTTCTCTTATGCCAGTCGTTGGTCATTTGGCCATCCGACACCTTGCTGCCCATTATAATTTAGACTTTCTAATGTATATATTTATTGTTATGTCCCTCAAGGCAGGACATGCGTCTAGATGGTCTGCATCCATTGTTCCTTGATGACACAATTTACAGCTAGGATCCTCAGCCACGCCTATCTTGTAGAGATAACTCTGCAGATAGTCGTAACCAGTGGCTAGGTGGAAGCAGGCAACTGCATCTCTTCTCGGTAGTTCAGTTGGGATCGGATTATCTATCAAACACTTATAGCGTTTCCCTTCCACTTTGTCCAAGTGTGCTTTTCTTATTTCTTCCTTCACTACCATCTTTACCATTTGCCGTATTGAGTCGTAAGGTTTTGGATGAATCGGCTGAGGCAAATCTGTTTCTCGCTTGGCAAGAATATCAGCCTCAACATTTCCCGGAATCCCACAATGGCTGGGGATCCACTGTAGGACCACATTGGTGCCTCGGTGTGTCAGGTTAGAGAGGAGGGATTTACATTCCAATATAGCACTTGATAAACATTCATTCGTGCTTGTAACAGCAAGGATGGCTGCTTGGGTCGATGAAGAGAACAGCGCTCTGATCCCGCCTTCTAGACAATGTTCTTAAGGCTATGAGAATCGCCGCTATCTCACCGTTCAAATTTGTTCCATCTTTAACCACCGCAGCGCTGATTTGGAATTCCCTTGAGTAAACCCCTGCTCCAGCATTTTTAACAGCTGATTCAGCTGATCCGTCGGTATAGATATGGAGCCAATCTTGAGGAGGGTACTTTTTAGCTATAGTTTCTAATGCTTAGCTCGTTTTCAGGTGTTTCTTTGTTATCCACCTTATGAAAGAGTTGCAGTTCTGCATTGCATGTGTGATTGTGAATTGGTAACTGTGGATGTATAAATGGTTCCCTTTCTTCGCAGTAAAGCCCTCTTTCTTCAAGTAGTGTCTTCGCCTTCAGCATGAAGGATTTTTGTGTCTTGAGCCGTTGAGAGGGGATTTTGTAATTTTTCCAAAACTCTTGGTCCATTCTTTTCATTTGCTCGTGAAGGCACATTGCAGCTCGCTCACGCTGTTTCGATAGAGGTTCTACTGTGGTCTGCAGTTCCATAGCTACAACGGGGGTTGAGCGCGGTGCACCCAAAATCAAGCACAGAGCTTTGTTCTGCTGGCTGTCTAATCTTTTCAGAGATACATCTGCCGCAGTACAGATGACTTCAGAACCGTATTCCAATACCGGGCGTACATAGGTTTTATATGCAAGACCCATCACATCCTAAGTGGCTCCCCTCCCCCCCCATGTCTTTCCTCCAAGGCGTTTCAGAAGTTTTAGTCTGTTTTCCACCTTTTCCACCATCTCTTCAATTTGTCTGTTACAGATCATTTTTGTATCTAACCTAACTCCAAGATATTTGCCTGCATAGGTTCTTGACAAGGGAATATTATTATAGATGATTTCCAGCTCGCACTCTTTGGTTGATAAAGTGAACAGTTGGAATTCAGTTGTCTGCATATTTACTTCCATTTCATTCCACTTGGCCCAGGTAAAAAGTCTTTGCCATTGCCTCATTAATTGCTGCTGCGAGTGCTGTTATGTTGCTGCTAGTCGCATATACTAGTAGATCATCAGCAAACAGTAGAACAGATATTCTGGGTATTTCCTCGAGTACAGCCATTAAGTCGTCAATCATTATATTAAAGAGTGTGGGGCTTAAAACAGATCCTTGTGGAACTCCCTGACTAAAAGTTCTGAGGCCTGAACACCATCCATTGTATCTTATTCTGAGAAACCTCTGGGCCAAGAAGGAACGTACGGCTCAGTACATTTTTCCACTGATGTTCATTTTGAGGAGTTTATTCGGAAGTACTTTCCGGCAAACTCTGTCAAAAGCAGCTTTAAAGTCAACATATACTGCAAAAGTATGTTGTTTGCGTTGGAATCCGTCTTTTACATCCTCACTAAAACAAGCCACCTGCTCAGTTGTACATCGGTGCTTCTGGAAACCTGCTTGCTTTGATGACATCTTGTTTTCTCTATCCAGATATATCTGCAACCGGGCTAGAGCCATTCTCTCATAGAGCTTAGAAAAAACACTTGTGAGCGATATAGGTCGGTAGTTAGATGGGTAAGAGGAACATTTACCTTTCTTGAGCATTGGGACAACCTCAGCCTTCCTCCAAGCAGTAGGATATTTCGACCTCCACACAGCATTGAGAAAATCTAGCACAATGAACTTGGCTTTTGCATCCAGGTGAATAAGAAACTCTGGTAATATGTCATCAGGGCCACCACTTTTTCTCTTCTTTGTTTGTGCCAGTGCAAGTTCAAGCTCTACCTTACTGATTAGTCAAACTGAATAATATGATGCAAATAAATAAAAGAGGTTTTGTTAAAAAAAAAGGATATTATCATTGTGCGTGTTGAGCACACGGTCATTTAGAGAAAAATATGGAACCTGAAAGCATACCAGAATGTACTTAATGAATATTCTATAGACTTTTTTTTATAAAAGTATGACTTGCAGAGCTAATTTTAAACTAAATAAAATTGTTACTATTTTTTCTAAATAAAGTTCTCTGTAGAAATTTTATAAACACTTTTTTTTCAATCTACAATGAAAGCTGTTTGTATTACGTGTACCGGAATGCAAAAATTAGAATTAATAGCTAGCTAAAATTATTTTGTCACATGTTGCCCTTCAAGATAATGCCATTACTAAACTGCACAGTTAGTAATATATAACGTGATAATCCAGCGATTAGCAATGATGTAAGAATATGCCATCTTCAGAGAATCAGATTGGCATTTCGCTCTGCTTGAATGGTCAGACAAATAGTTTAGCACAACTATTTATGCAAGCAGTAATATTTAATGAAATTTCTAAAATAAGAATTGTAGGTTTCAATTATCAAAAGATTCAAACATTTTTTTTAATCCATATTTATTACTTAACAAAAACAAAAATAGTAAGCAAATCTATAAATTTGTAGTTCAACATCTTTGAAAGGAACTAGATCTGTTGAATCAGTTTGTTATATTACAACACTGTAAAAGGTATATTATGTTGAGCCTTACATTATTTTCTTCAAACTTTATTTTGGTTGGATAATCTGAATCACGAATTTTTCATTGTAACAATCTATTTTTCTGGATTCCCCTAAATTAAATGTTATCAGATCATTATCTAGTAGGATTGAACAATTCTGCTGAACTGATCAATCCAGCCACAAAAAAAATCAATATATCTTGCTACCAGGGGCTGGTAGGATTTCTCTCCTACGTATTTTTTTTTTGGGTATTTCTATTTGAAAGTAAGCTGTTCCCTGACAAGAGGAGGAAAAACAGATGAATACTATTACCATTGCATTATTCATTAAAACAATGAGAATGGTAGAATTGGAGTCTCCTAAGAGTCTCACTCGTACTGCTAAAAGGGCTCGGAATGGTTCTCCTGAAGTCTATAAAAATGCAAAAGATGGCAAAGCAACTACACTATTTAGTTATGCTAGACAAATTCAGGAAAGTCTTCAGGCTTATTTAAAGCCAGAACGATAAGAAATCTGTTGGGTCAATTTGTTGGGATCATATTAACAACAAAATACAATGTCTTGTTGATATGATAGAAATCCTTGAAGATGCGAGAAAAGATGAAAGTGTTTCCTTTTTCGTAGTAAAGGCAATTAACGAGACTCTTTCGTCACAGAGGGTACATGATATGTTTAGGCAAATTATTATTGAGGCCTCTGTGCCGAAAGTTAATGAGGCTTTTGCAACGAGTGATATATCTCTGATATAAGATTTATCCTGGACTCTCTAGAGAGCTGCAACGTACAGTTAATGAACCTGTTGGAGTCTCCAGAGAGGTAGAGCAACAAATACCATGACGAGATTTTGACCCAGGTGGGTTTTTGGCAAACACAAGTTCGTTCGAGACAGTCGTGAGCTAATGAAACAGAAGAAAATCTAAAGCAGTAACTAAAAGTAAACAACATAGCTTGAAGGAACCTAAATCAGAAATACCAAAAGAGAAGAAACGTAAAAGTATGGCAGATTGTGAAATCACTGCGAAAGACAAAGACATAGGACAGTTCCTCTTAGACTCTGAGACTAACTTACATCACCATAAGTGGGACTGGAAAGGGTCCTGTGGAAATTATAAATGTGCTACCGTCACCAAAAGAAATAGGTATAAAGGCCACAATAGTCTGTGCGACCAAGGTAGGCTCCGTCTTGGTTGGTATGGACAACATCAATGATGCCATAAAAGTGATTGGTTGGAAGGGATTGGGGGACCATGGTCTGTAAGCCAAGCTAGACCTGAGTAAAAAAACCCAGCCTAAAAGTAAGGGTTGTTCCTCACACATGGAATTCAGGGGAGTTGATAAGATTTTTATGGGAACTATTACCCGAGAAGTCGGGCCCCAATCCGCTGGTCATGGATGATCTACGGCCACTATTCTCTTCTGTGGCCAGAAACGGTTTTACCAAGAATTGGGTGCTACAAGTGCACCCAGCAGTCCGGGTCCTGCTTTTTGAAACAGGAAGCCTAGATGGATAATGGTGGACTATAAGCTTTGAAGATTATGTCTCCTCAATGCAGTAGATATCAGGCCTATGTTCACACCAAGGCCGCGTGCACAGTAGATGCACTAGTCTGCATTTATTGTTCAGCTAGTGGCCATGTAATTAATGTCAAAAGAGAAGAGAACAGGCTAGCCCGGCCTGCATAAATTGTGAGTGGGCAAATGCTCCCATTGTTCAAAGGAAACACAAGGCGGGTAGTAGGGAATGCTCCGTGCATCTACAGTGGGCCTAAGAGGTAGCTAAAAGGACCTTCTATGAGTAAGCTTACCATCCTCCAGCTCAACATGGGCCGCCGACGCAGTTATGGTTATCGCCCTGAGCAGTGGAGAGAGGAGGTCCAGGGCTGCTATAGTGGTTAATAACCCGAACCTCGAAGTGATGGATCTGAGACAGTATACTATGGTGGATTCCATCACCTGCTATTTCAAAAGGGGTAATGTGACTTTTACACTGGTATCAGCCTACCTACCTGATAACAACGATATTGACGAAGACATCCGCCATGGAGATGATCACAGCTACCACCAGGAACGTGGTCATATGCTTAGATACCAACTCCTGGAACACGGTCTGGGGATCCAATCAAACGAATAGAAGAGGCACAAAGCTACACTAATTTATTTCCCAGAGCCAGTTAGTAAGTAGTATTAAACAATCTCTCTGCTACCCCTACGTTCTCTAGCTTTAGGGGACAGAGTGGATTGACGTGACACTGGCAACGCCATTAATAGCCAATCGCATTGTGACCCTCCGATCTGAGATGAGTTCAGACCGCCAAGCGATATCCTTCAGGCAGATGGAAAATTCAGAAAGTTCCCGCGGTATTGCCAAGGGTTACCTAACCCGAATGGCAGATTGGAAATCCTTGGAGAGCAAATTGGTTGATGATGAATAGTATAATGTGGAAATAGAACAGAAAAATGACCTGGATTACAGGGTGTTCAGGATCACTAATATTGTCTGTGATGCCGTTGAGGAATCCCTTCAGTACCGGATGACGAAAGCTCGACCTGTCCCATGGTGGATGCCGGCCTTAACCACTCTTAAGAGAGAGCTTTACAAGGCACAGCCGTTGGTAGGACGGGGTGGCCGAATGGGGTAACACGTGTGCACTGCAACGCCATTGCCCGGCAACCTGATACATAAGACTTTGATAAAAAAATAGTCATGAGTTCGGTCCCGGTGCCCGGAGGAGTTTTTAAATCCCCGCCCACACTCCCTGGCCCGGGAAAACCCCCGTATAGCCTTAAAGAGGAGGACAGAAAAAAAAAAAAAAAAAAGCCACAGCTGTTGTATCAGAGGTGTAGTTGCGACGAGAATCGCTCTACACTCTGTGATCAGTACAAATCCAAGGCCTGGCTATACCGAAGCAAAAGTCCTGGGACGAGTTCATTGTTAAAGAGTCCACAAAGAATCCCTGGGGCATTCCTTATAGGGTGGCCATGGGAAAGTTTAGTATGCCAGAAAAATTGGCAGCCCTCCAGATACGTCCAGGCAACCAATTTCGAGGAGGCAGCTGAAATCTTTATTGCGAGAACGTATCCCAGAGATGATCCATCTCAAGACAGCAATGAGACCAATTTTGTGAGACACACCACAGAATACCCACCTGGTACGGACTTGTGCCCACAATCGGACATATATGATCTCCCTATTGCCGTGGATAAGCAGAAAACCGGTTGTGCTCCAGGACTTGATGCTGTAGATATGACAATCTTAAAGAATAATATTCCCTACATTGATGAGAGACTTTTTGGAGTATATAATGATAGTCTGGATAGGGGATACTTACCCAAAAGCTGGAAGATCAATGATTTGAGCCTCCTTTACAAGAGAGGAAACAGAGATAAGCAGTTTCCCAAGTCCTGTAGGTCCATATGTCTCCTTCCTGTGATAAGCTAGGTTCTGTAGAACCTTATCATGACCAGCCTAGTACCAGTTCTTATGAGAGCAAATCATCCACGGCAATACAGTTCCACTTAGGAGAATGGAATCGCTGATGCACTGCTGAGAGTGCGTGAGGACGTTGAGGTTAGGACGGAGCGGTATGTCATGTTGATGCTATTTGACATATCCTCCACCTTTGACAGCCTCTGGTGGCCTCTTGTGCTCCAGCAGCTACAGAAATATGATGCTCCCAGCAACTTATATGCCTTGATAAGAAGCTACTTATAGGATAGACGTGTAAAGACTCATGGTAGTTCCTATGAAACTGAAGCCTTCATAGAAAGGGGATGTCCTCAAGGATCAGTACGTGGTTCAGGTTTATGAAAGCTAGTTTTTGATCATTTTTTGGGAGTGTTAGAAAAACAGCGGTTCCCTGCCACTGGATAAGTTCACAATTTAGTGTACTCCAACAGCAGAGTCGGCTTAAGACAAGAAGCGGAACAATGTGCCAACTTGGTCGGAGCATGGTATGAGAGGAAAAAGTTGTCAATGGCCGCTTCAAAGACTCAGACAATTCTCATGAAAGGAAAAACTGATAGGGTAAATTAATATTACGATTCAGGGATCGAGATTACCTCCAAGTGGGGTGGTCACTTACCTAGGCGTAAGATTTGGAAAAAGATTCAACGTTACCCTTCATTTGGACTACCTTAGAAACAGTGTGGCCCTATCTTTAAACGGTCTCGGTCAATTGAGGGGGGCTTTCTATGGCCTCAGATACCCAGCAACATTAACAATTTATAAGGGAGTGATTATGGTTATCTTGAGGTATATGTCCCCTGCCTGGAACCAGAACCTTTCGCACCTACAGAAGAGTAATTGGTGACAATATAGCAAACAGTTTTCCTGCGGGTCACCAGGGCGTATTGTAATGTAACCCATGAGGCAGTGCAGGTCTTAGGAGGAGTACTTCTCGATCTCCTCCTGCGTTAAGACATGATGAAACATATGTTTAAGAAAAATGGCTCTACAGTTGTGCCGGGAAACCTTAAGGTGAGAATTAACGAGAACCCTCACTAATGGAAATACACTATACGGGAGGACACAATGGAAGAATGGAACGAATCGGCGGTGGGTGATAACCCCAAAAGGATCTACCTTGAGGAAGTACTTGCACACAGTCCAGTCACGTTTAGTAGCAAAGTGGGTCCTCCTGGACTGCTGGCTCTCGCAATTTCTCACAGGCCGTCGATGGCTTTCAAGCAAAGCTTCATTGCCATGGGATGGACATCGATACCTTATGACCTAGCTGCGTTGTCCCAATGTCTCCTGAGCTCATCGTTGACTGCACCGCCTTCGAAGAACTAAAAGCTAAATTACTGAGGGGAACCAGTCTCTACATTCTCACAAAGAACGGTTTCCATCAGTTAGTCACTGCAGAAAACTACCCGTACTACAAAGATTTTGTGTACGAGTGGAAAGCCGCGGTGGGGTCAGCCCATTTCAATCTAAGAAGAGGAGGAGGAGCTACTGGTCCATTGGTATGAAAAATCACTCAAGAAAATCAAGAAAAAGTAGATGAAGCTTTACTTGCAGTAGTGAGATGATAAGCTAACCTGCCTTACATCTTACTTTTGCAGGCATGCTTACAAGACATGGCAGGGTTTAAAATAAATAAATAAATGAATAGGCAAAGATGATTGGCCTGCATTATTTATTATAACAGATTAAAAGTTGGACATGATTAATTCCAACAGATGATCTTTATTTCACTAGTCATACATTTTTCTCAATGATCTATATCAAAAACCCGCTATCACAACAAAATAGTCCATTCTTGAATAATTGAAGTAAATTACTAACCCAATTAAATTAATTTTTTGGCATTTCCCTTCTTAGTAATGTAACTTATAAGCAATAGAACTTTCATTTTTATAGCTTTAGCCTCTACTTTTCTTTCATACAGTGGACCGTTCTTCAAAAGGTTTTTTTCTGGATTGAATCGACGCTTGACAAACATTTTGCTAAAGAGACAGACATAAATATAGTAACATTATCAATTTGAATTAAATAAGCGGTCATTGAATGAGGTGTGTTTTCATTGTTTTCTATGTTTCACAAATAACATCTTGCAACACATTATTTTCAATTTTATAAAAGAATGATCTCTCAATATACTACTTATTTAAATTTCATATCAGTGTTATTTCCTGTTTTCAGACTGATAATGGAAAGTCCTTTGAAGTCCTTGTAAGGTTTGATACTGAAGTCGATCTCCTCTACTTTAAGCATGGAGGAATCCTCAATTGCATGGTCAGAAGAATGCTCAGTTAAATTTATTTTAGTGAAATTTATCAAAAATTATTCATGACAATAAATTTTATTGGAAAAATAATATGTAGTGCATATTATGGTTAATATGGTCATGGTCTGATGTTTTTGTATTGTATAATAAATAGATGTATATTTTTATATTTATGTGATCTGAATATATGGGGATTGTTTATTGTTATTATTCAGATTTTATTTTTCTTCTTCATATTAGTGTTAATTAGCTAATATTACCTCAACATGAATAGTCATTAAGATTACTCAACCAAATCATTGTAATAATAAAATTATTTTTTCCATTGAATCAAAGCATTTAAAATTTATATTTTATTTAGGTATAGTATTTGTTCTTGCAGAGTAAGAATAAAGGAGATTAATGAATTACTTATGTCTATCGCTTATTTCCTCACAGTACACAGTTATCATTAAAGTTATTTGTTTAATAAAGTTCTTATGATATATATTTATAGATATATACAGAAATAATATATACAGTATATTTAGTTTAGCTTCAAATTATTCAGACTTGTCCAGGCACTGATCCTATCTAGGTCTGCCTGAATATTGGCGAATGCAACTAGTAGCTCAGAAGGGTGAAAGGATAAATGGATTTGGGAGTTATCAGCGTATAAATGGTGTGAACAGTGGTAGATGGATTTGGAAAGATCATTTATATAGGAATTAAAAAGGAGAAGGGAAATGCTCGAATCCTGGGCAACTCCAGAGGACAGTATAAGGAAGGAAGATAGGGGTTTGTTCGGAATGCTGACTGCTTGAGTTCTGTTGGATAGGAAAGACTGCAACCAAAGGATAGAGATTTTAATTTAGTGTAGTGTATAGAGTGGTCTAAGGAGTCAAAAGCTTTGGAAAAGTAAAGAAGTATTAATATAGTTAACATTTTTTCGTTCATTGCATTATGTAAGTCATTGGTAATTTTTAGTAGGGCGGACTGTATGGAAAAACCAGGACGATAACCAGATAGGAGAGGATCGAGTAGTTTAGAGTTTTCAAGGAATTTAGAGATTTGGAATTGAGCTATTCTTTCCAGGGGTTTAGAAAGGTTAAAGAGAATGGAGATTGGGCGGTAGTCTTTAGCAGAAGTAGGATTGGGGATTTTGTTAATAGGTCTGACTAATGATTTTTTCCAAACAGTAGGAAAAACTGAGTTCTGGAGGGAAAAATTATAGATGAAAAGGAGTAAGAGGAGGGTGAGCTGTTGCTGGTGGTGGAAAATATAAAGTAGAAATTTAATTCATTAGGTGAAACCGGGTAGATCGGTGAAGAAGAGGATTTACAAAGAAAGAGTTTATGAAGGGTTAGCCATATTGATTTAGAATCAGGAGCAGGAGATAGGGTTTTGTGAAAGAAGTTTGATTTTGCTTTCCTGATCGTTGTTTGTGTCAAATTACGGAGTACCTTATAGGCTTGATAGTCAACTGCTAGTCGAGTTCGTCTGAAGCGTCTATGGATTGCCTCACATCTCTTTTGCATGTCACAAATTTTTTGACACATCCAAGGAGCAGGTTGGCGGCGAAAGGTTGATGTTTTGATGGGAGCATATATGTCAAAAATATGGATAAGATTAAAAGTGAGGATGTCTACCATATGATCGATAGAGGTGTAGGAATAAATATCGTTCCAGTTTAGGATTTCAAGATCAGGTAGGATTTTATCACGGGTGAGGGAGTCAAGATTGTGGAAAGTTATGGTTTTAGGAAGAAATGTGGGAGTTTGGATATCGTACTATAATTGGATGAGATCTTGAGAAGAAAGGAAAGGAACAGGTAATTGAGAACAGCACAAGAGTTTCTGCTCTGAATCGATGATATGCAGGTCCAACCAGGTGTCAGACCAACAGGTATGGTGTGTAGGAGGGAAAGGAACAATAAAAAGGTTGAGAGAGAAGAAGAGGTTTTCAAAGTAGCATTTGTTGTTGGATTCAGTGAGGAGGTTGGTATTAAAGTCACCGGAAATTATAATGTTATTATAGAAAAGAACATAATTGTATATTATGTATATATACATATTTATTCAATGGTTTATGAAATTTATGCTTGCAACAATGTTTCTTGGTACATTGAGTGCTTTCCAGTATTAAGGGTTCAGAAGAAAATGATAATTAAGAAGAACTTTGTAAGTTATTATTTATTTAAAAGAATGAAAATTTCTTTTTTATAAAATTAAAAAATATTGCATATAATTTTTTGGCACTAGATGATGGAATAATCTGTTAACATAACTCAGAATAAAAGAGAGTTTATTGCAGTAAGATAATATATGTTTGAAATGACAAAAATAAAATAAATAAAATGCATTACTGCTTAATGATATACTAAAAATGTGTATCATACACAATTAGTGCCTCATACTTTAAATTTATTTACATTGTTAAAACATAACTATATTACACTCTGTTGGTTCGTTAATCAGTTATCTCAAATCTTATGGATTTAAAAATAACAATCCCATATTTTTAAGTTGATTTAGTTTTCTGATTTTATCTACCATGCTTCTTCTATGTTGCTGGGTTTTCATTAATCCAAGCTCTGAGATCCATTGATGGTATTGCTCGACTATCACATGGTATCCTTTGATTCCTATAAGAATAATAATTAAGCATTTTGAATTAGTTTATCGACTATGCAAAGTACCTGGTGAAGTGACAGGTATAATGAGTTTAAAAAATATAACATGTGTTGATAATGATTTTGCTTTTGGGTAAATGACAATACTAAAATGGTTGACTAGTGATGCATATTAATTTAATAATAAGATTAATCCTTCCTTATAAAAATGTACCTCTAAAATATTTTTAATTAGCTTCCAATAGTAAATCTTTGTGATCAGTATTTTTATCAAAAATTATTTAGATAATTGTGTGGATTACTTACAAAAATGAAGGTTGAATGAATGCCAAAGGCTGGATTCGTGCTAGATCATCAGAGTTATCACAAAGGATTCTTGCCAAACTTGTTTTTCTTATTTCAGTTAGTTGATCTACATTTTAAAGGAAATAAAAGAAAAAGAAATTATTGAGTGATTTTATAAAATTTTAAATTGTATATTGGTATACTTTTTCTTTTTTAAATTAAATGGAAATATTATTTTAAATAAATATTTATTGTCATTGTCTCAGGAAATATAATAGGTTATTATACCAGAAGTGAATGAAGAAGGTTGATTTGCTTCTTCATAGAAGAACCTATCAGCCCTCCTAAGCCTAGCGAATTGATCTCCAATTAGACATAAAAATGTTGGCCCCAAAATTGCTCCTTGTACTGGATTTTCTCCCATGGCACCGACGAAAAGGTCCACATCTTCAATATTTTGGTACAGTCGGGCAATAACCTCAATAGTCTGAAAATTTCTGTTGTATGAAGAGAGTTGTCATAATAATAAATATAAGTGCAATTTAATACAATTATAAAAGTACCGATGGCTCCATTTGTTCTTCAAGATCTTCCCATCTGCGAGCCCTGCGAAGGCCACATACTTCTCTCCAGTCATTGTATGGTGCGAGACCATGATCACGGCCTCTCTGAATATTCAGCGAAACAAGATCCAACCCAATATCTAGGTTTCCTTGGAACAGATGATCTGTAATCTAAAACCAACGTTAAGTTGATGAATTGTAAAGTAAGAAATCTTTTCTTTGTCTCAAGATGATAATTTTAATATTAGTCTGTATTTGTTTTCTAAAGTTATGCAGGTATTTGATATTGTAACTATAAATATTAAAACTTTCTAGTTTATACTGCAATGTACTGACTTGATTTGTAAAGTGCCTATCCACATTCTGCATTGGTTGTGCTGCAAGTCCTCTCAGCATATCGTCGACAGACCCTTCATTGTATAGCATGAATGGAGCAAAGTGATTTTTGCTCATTTCTAGATTATGCCTGAGATTTCCAAATCTCCCATACCCACTGTTATCCAATAAAGATTATTATTGTTTTGGATAAACAAAATATAATAGGTTAAAAAAGTTAAATAAAATATGTCTCACTGGAGAAAACTCTGAATTTGGCTGTGTCCAAATCTAAAAGCAGCAGTTGCAAAAACGTTTGTTATTCCTCCATTAAGATTAGGATCATATAATGTGGTCCATCCTTTATCTTTTGGTGCCAATGACGATTTTTCCATGTAAGCTCGACCTAATATATAATTAAAATTATTTTTTAAAAATGTATTAGTTACATATACTTTGGTATATGGTAATACCAATAATATTATCTATCATCCAAGGTATAGCACATTCTGTTAATGGATTAATATTGATCTTCTACTAACTTTAATCATAATGATCTTAAATATTATTTTTAGCCATATATAACATATAATACCTAGCAAAATCGGAAGATATTCATTGTATGTGATGTGCTGATACTCTGCAATCACAATACGTTTGGCTTCTTGGAAAAGTGCTTCATCAGACCAATTTGGGTGGATACGCTGCAGAATAGAAGCAATTCTGTTATGTTCTCGAAGCCAGACAGTGTGTATTAATGCCAAGTCAACTTGTTCATTTACCCTTCCATCTCCTATTGTGGATGGTATTAAAATTAATAAAATTGTGATTTTGTGTATTAAAATTTACAATTTTATACCTAAGACAATTCTACAAATGCACGTGAACTAAGAGTATTACTATGGTAATAACTTGTGAAATAACTAGTCACCTCCCCCTTCCACCATATGCCAGGCCTGGTAAGTTAGGGGATTATTTAAAAAAAACAAAAAACAGAAGGAACATCGAATAATTCAGATTGTGTATTATTGTAATTATTCTTTCTCCTGTTTACAAATTAAACGGCTTGTTAGAGAATTTACAAATTACAAGAATGATTATCTAACATTTTTAAAAACAACAATAGCCTGAGATTAAAAAAGTTAAAACTAAATAAGATATCGTTCATTGAAAAAATCGAGCAATTTACTCTAAAAATCAATATGTTTATATTAAATTAATATATTTATTATCTAAAAGGAAGCCTCTGACATATCTCTCTGAATGCTGAATAGTCCTTTTTCATTGCTAAATATGTTTTGAAAATTTAGGAATTCAATGTCAAATGTTTCTTTTTATAAAGCTTTACATTTACCTGCACTAAAACATGCCAATCTGTTTGTTCTGTCTGTACACTCATTAGGATTTCCTGGAAGGTATGCTCGGCCTCTTACATTCTGAGCTCTTAAAAACCCTCCTCTGAACAATCGTAGACTCCTTGCTGTGTCACGGTTTGATCCATAGATGTTAGAAGCATCAAGGTAACCAGTTATTTGATTCATCTAGAAGAAGGCAAATCTGTACTAATGGTAAATGAAATTGAAATCATAAAAAAAGAACATAAAGAGTGTCCTTTATACCTGTTCTCTTGGCCCAAAGTTACATTCTGGTCTTGGAGCTGGTAGTGATCTTGCAAATTCCATACATCGTTCACCAAATGGTGCAAAAACTCTATCATTCCTTGGTAGGTCAATTGGAAAACAGTCTGGATGCCTCAATTCAGGACTGATTACTTGTCCATCTCTGCAGCATGATATTCCACTGCCACTAGCTCCTATCCAAAATAATTTTAGTACTTCCATATCATATCATTAATATCAATTTTATAACAATTAGTTAATGTTTTTGAAAATAGCAGATTTGATTATATAAAAATTCAATTTTAACTGTACTTTCGGAACTGTAAGTTTTCATATTCATTATAAGAAGGTTGACATTTCTTTGGGAGAACTGCGTAATGAGAGAGATTACCATAATGAAATCAAATAGATTTATATGACTGGGAACTCTGAATTTATAATTGTGATAATTACAATATATACGAACAAGTAGAAGCTTCAAGTATTTCTTTAAATGCTTTCTTATTATGCCATCTCTTCTACTTGAGCAGATCACTAATATAAGTTTTTAAAAAGAGTTATTGCCACATCAAATTAAAAATAAAATATAAGTAAATAAAAAATAAATACAGCTAAGAAATTATTTTAGCTAATGGAATATATTATCAGGTTAATTTATTAAAAAAGAAAACTCAAAACTTCTCATTGAAATAAATTATTTTTCTCTTGTTTTTCTTTTTGGATTTTTATAATGTGTTGAAAATCCTAACTGAAGGTTCTGTACATTGAATACATTATTTTATTCCTCAAATGCTGTGAAAATGCAATTTTTGAACTGCTAGTTAACAGTTATATGTCTCACCTCTTGAAATTGGTGTATGTGTGAGATCATGATCCAAAAATTGTCCCCATTGCATCACCATCATGGTGTAATTGTTTGATGGGAACTCAACATCAGTTGCATAGAACAAAGTTATTAATCTTGGACTTGGAAGAGGCCCAAATTCTCCAGTTCTCGGTGCGTTGACTCCTGAAAATTTTTATCTTGTATATGTTTCATATTAATGTGACAATAATGGAAATTTGTAAAAATATAAATTAAAAATACCATCCGCATATTTTGGTGGTAGGATCCTTTGTAAAGCTGTGCCTGCTTGACCCCAGTGCGGGTTCCTAAGATTGTTGCAAGAGCCATCCATTGTCCTGTATTTTGCAGCAAAGCATCTCACGCTTGGAGGGCAGGTGTCGGCGAGGACAGTGTTCAACAGGCTGAACTTTGGAAGGGCGAATGTTCCCTGAGCTGGGGACAGGCTAAACCTAAACAATAAGCAGGTATACCTTTAATGAAGTTTCTGTTCTTAAAACTGCAAATAGCTATTAGATTGTAAACAAAGTCTCTTTGTTTCCTATTATTAATTACTAAAAATTCTTTGTAAAAAAACAAAACAAAAAAACATGTATTGTATTTATTACAAATGTTTTATGCTGTATAAATTAGATACCTGCCTGCTTTAAATTAAATTTTTGTATATATTAATTTATACTATTCGTTTCAAAATAGATTTAGTAAATAGAAATAGAAAACAACTATTTTTTCCTAGGTGATCACCCTCCATCCACCCTCCTAAGTCTATGCCTGTGTGTTGCTAACACTGACATAAATACTAGCCTAGTGAAACACTCCAGTTACTCGTTCACAGTTTGTGAAATGTGTAAACACAGCTTAAATTCAGCTTTAGACCAAGATCAGAACAATGTTCATTGCATGAGAGGAGAAAGAGGGATAGAATGCCATACATATAGGAGAAGCTTATTCTCCTTCTTATTATCATTTTAATCAGTTTATTACCTCTAATATTATATCGACAGAAGAGATCTGGAATGGAGGAAGAGGATGCAACTAGTACTAGATCGGGATTTATGGACTAAGCTCTATTTAAAGCCACCTCACACTGCACTGCAGTAGAAAAGGAAAGACCAAGAGAATATTAATAAATTGCTGTCTATAAATTTATTGATTTTTTGTGAGTTATTTTGAAGTAAATAACTTTTCATTGGATGGGCTTCCTTCATAAATTTATTGTAGGTTAGGAGGGAAAAATTAGGGAAATAGAAAATATCTGTTCTCTCTCCCCAGCCATCCTTTTTTCTTTATTCTTATTATAAATCATGATTTTTATGAAGTGATTCTATAAAGAAAAAACATTGGGTGACTTTAACGAAGTTTACACCACCATTAAAGTCTCCAGTTACCCTAGTGGTTCTTGCTCTCTATAGTTATCTCCGCAAATTATTGGAGTTAAAAATTAGATTTTGGTAAATAGAACAAGTTTAATTGCCTTTTTTTACATTTAGATTATTAGGAAAAAAATATATATATAGGAAAAAATCTTTGAGCAAGTCAAAGTACAAGTGTTCCAACGATAGATAGTAAGTTCAGTAGTTCAAAACTGATTTTAGGACCGGTTTAGGAAAATGTACAGTTTATTTAATTATAACCAGTTTACTTAACAATAACTGTTTCATTAATAATAATAGGTTTATCAAAAATAACGGTTTAACAACAGAATAATTTTCTCTCTTTTGCAAGATCTTATTTCTTCATACTTTGTTTTTCTGCTCTTTCGTCTTGGGCAGCAAATAAAAGTAACCTATTAATGGATCATTTTACGTATATTAGTTAGTTTCAAATACAGCATTCCTATTTTCTAATGTTCATATAGATTATCGTAATCCTATTATTTATTAATGAATTATTAAATTTCACAAATATGGACTTCAATAAATTATTTTATCCAGTCTACTTACTCATCGACAAGAGCCTTCGACGCTTGGATGTTTTTCTGTGCCTCATCTCCTACTGCCAAGGTCTCATTAGTGGTAGGGAAGAAGTCGAGGTGCCATTTTGCTGGAGTTCCTGGTTTGACCGTGATACCCCTGGAGAAGAGGTTCACCAAGAACTGAAATCTTTCCCTGATCGCCTCAACTCCAGTCTCAGCAGCTGTCTCCAGGTTCTGGGGTGTTAGGGGCGGTATCTGGACGGGAGGTGGTGGAGGTGAACGTAGCACACCGCTGCTGGTTGGTCCGCCTCCTAAACAATATTTACAGATATGACGTTATGTATTAATTGACACCTTATTTGAAAATGAAATCTTATAAAAATTGTTTTGTTTTTTTGGTGCATGAAGTGCCGGAAGATCAAAATCTTAAATATTTTGTTAGTTTTTCATGGAAAAATACGTAAACGAAACTTCGTTTCAAGGGAAGTTAATCGATTTTTAGTAAAATCAAACTGTTCACATTCTTACGAAACAATTGCGGTGGTAATAAAGTTTTTTACAATTGGCTCAATATTAATTGTTGCTCTGTGATTACTGCTTCATTCCTGGTTACCTGCTTCTTTAGGGCCAGTACCGCACTCAGAAACATCATTTACGTGCATTTAATAAATTTATGTATGTATATATAATCCTATTTTCGCTTACATTGATTTTAAGAAGACGAAAGCAAAAAAGTATTTTGTGAGGAGGGGTATATATATATATATATATATATATATATATATATATATATATATATATATATATATATATATATCCTCCTCACAAAATACTTTATTGCTCTCTTCTTCTTGAAATCAATGTAAGCGAAAGTAGAATTTAAAAAATTGTGTATTATACACAATTCCACTTCTTCCGGCCTGTTCCATGTTTTTCCTTATCCCCTGGTATGAAGCTTTTTATTTTGAAAATTCATGTATGAAACCCACTTCTGGTCACCCCTGTACAAGAGTGATTTATAGTATAATCAGATATCTTTTCTTTCTACTAGTATATATAGTATATATTTATACTACTATTTATAGATACTAAGGTACATATCTAGTAAGGTACATATATACTAAGGTATATGTAGATATACCTTTCTAGGTGTAGCGCTATCAACTTACTATTACTACGGATATACTTAAATGGTGGCATTCAAGAAAAAGATTAAAAGTCATGTTTTTATCTAAAAATGAATCTATTTGTGATTTTAAACATAATAAATATACATAAAATATTGCATGCAGGATGCTGATGTGATCATGATTGATTATCACTATTCCTTTTAGGTTTATTCATTTATAGATTGTCAACACAGATGCAAAGAAGAGTTTGAATGGAATGGGGACACGAGCGAGCTAACGCGGATGTATAAAATACACGTTGCCCGACAACCTGATAAACCAAAAATTACGAATTCGAATTCGTATGAGGGGACTTTTAACTCTGGCATAGTTCTCCCGCCTTCTCTCCTGACCCTGAAAAAAAACCTTATAGCCTAAAAGGTGAGGCAGGGGAGAAAAATAAAAATAAAAGTTTTGAATGGATATGATCACTCAGCTGGTTATATGGTGGAGTCTTTAGCTGCTGCCTTATTCGTGTCCTTGGTGCCATTGATGTCCTTTCGGCTGTCTCCTGTCTTTCAAGCGAGTTTTTTTTTCTTGCTGAACGCTGTTTCCAGCTTCTCTCAAGAGCATCTCCAGTAGATTTCTCCTCTAAGCGAGCATTTCACCTAGCTTCTATCTCAAACTGCCTCCATTCGAACCAGAATAATTTTCATCTCAATTTCCTCCTTCATTTTCGAGCTTTCCTGTTGGTCGAGGTATTGTTGTAAGGAGAGACTAACATTTAATTTAAGGAACTTGAAAGAGTCTTTTCATCTTTCAAATAGACAAAATTTTATTCTTAATACCACCTAACCGAGTACTGGCTGGAAACTTTATCTGATCGGCGAGACCCAGTAAACCCTGCCCCATGTCCACCTACTATACTCCGTGAGTGCGATTATCAGACTGACTCTATTTATTGTTATATTGATGCAATATATTTCAGTTTTATGAAATAGATTTAAATTTACACATCAGCCATCCTTGATACATAGCATTACATTGTTACAACCCCTACGTCCGCCACAGGCGTTCTATGGACGAGTGGAGAGGACCTGACTAAGTTATGATACCCATGAGATTCTAAAGCTTTTCAGGTTTAGATCGAGAGATTTTTATTTTTCTTGCAGAACTAAGCAGGCCAGGTTACTTTTGTAGCATTAGGTTCATGGCCAGGGAGGGATCCAAACAGTGGATTTTTTTTTTTTTTTTTTCCACGAAAGACACTAACTGAAGTTATTTGTAAAGGTTTTCTTAGGAATCGGTTGCTAAAAGTACATGAGTATATCTACATAGTACACGACATGAAGAATTGAGATTGGAATGCTAACAATATTGGAATAAATAAAGCAAAAATCCTCAATACTCCCTACATTTTTTTACAAATAAAACCATCCATAATGACCTTAATGTTTCTTATGTTTCAGATCTGGCCCGATTCAGATACCTATCCTTCCATAATAAACTTCAGAATCATCCCAACCCTCTCGTTTCTAACCTTGCTTCCTCTTCAATTCCTAATAACACTCCGAGGCGTATGAAAAGAAGATGGCTCCATGAACTCCTAATGTAGACATATCATTAGAGTGCTACCATTGGGTAGTTACTCAACAAGTGTTTTCACGTCATTATATCCATATGTTCAAATTTACTAAATGTATTAATACAGTTATAAATATCATTAAGAAAAAAAAAAAAATATATATATATATATATATATATATTACAATGTTTTTTTATAATTCGACCTTTACATCTTAAGTTATTATATATATATAATAAGATATAATATATATATATATATATATATAATAAGATATAATATATATATATATATATATATATATATATATATATATATATATATATATATATATATAAGATCTTAACCATGCTTTGAAGATAGAAATTAGCAAATTTTAAAAATATTAATTATAATGCCAAGATTCAGATAAACTATTAAAACAATAATAAACTAGTTATAAATAATATTGAATAAATATGTGGTTCTGTTGTGTAAATGAAATTTTTCATAGAAAGTTTTATATCATTGGTTTATTTGGATTTAGAAAACCCGAGATTTCGTATTTTATTGTATTTTACTTATTTTAGCTACCTATAAAAGTCATGAGAGATATCAATATTGTTATGATATTTTAAAATTTAAAAAAATATTGATTTTTTTAAATGTTGGCTTTTTTATTATTATTTTATTTTTAATTTGTTTGTAAGTCATATTACAACGGCAGAACGAAGAAGAAACAGACCAATCAATCTCGTTGGTCGTAGTAATAAAAATTTCTTGAACTGGTTCGGTGAAACCATTCCACCTCTGGAACGGTTTGGAATGGTTCCATCCAGAGCGGCCTTTCTCGTTCCGAGTGGTCTTGAATTCCACTCTGGAATGGCTCCATCCAGAGCGGCCTTTATCGTTCCGAGTGGTCTTGAATTCCACTCTGGAACGGTTCGGAATGGTTCCATCCAGAGCGGTCTTTCTCGTTCCGAGTGGTCTTGAATTCCACTCTGGAATGGTTTGGAATGGTTCCTTCCAGAGCGGCCTTTCTCGTTCCGAGTGGTCTTGAATTCCACTCTGGAACGGTTTGGAATGGTTCCATCCAGAGCGGCCTTTCTCGTCCCGAGTGGTCTTGAATTCCACTCTGGAACGGTTCGGAATGGTTCCATCCAGAACGGTCTTTCTCGTTCCGAGTGGCCTTGAATTCCACTCTGGAACGGTTTGGAATTGTCCTTCCAGAGCGGCATTTCTCATTCCGAGTGGTCTTGAATTCCACTCTGGAACGGTTTGGAATGGTTCCTTCCAGAGCGGCCTTTCTCGTCCCGAGTGGTCTTGAATTCCACTCTGCAACGGTTCGGAATGGTTAAATCCAGATCGGTCTTTCTCGTTCCGAGTGGTCTTGAATTCCACTCTGGAACGGTTCGGAATGGTTCCATCCAGAACGGTCTTTCTCGTTCCGAGTGGCCTTGAATTCCACTCTGGAACGGTTTGGAATTGTCCTTCCAGAGCGGCATTTCTCATTCCGAGTGGTCTTGAATTCCACTCTGGAACGGTTTGGAATGGTTCCATCCAGAGCGGCCTTTCTCGTCCCGAGTGGTCTTGAATTCCACTCTGGAACGGTTCGGAATGGTTCCATCCAGAACGGTCTTTCTCGTTCCGAGTGGTCTTGAATTCCACTCTGGAATGGTTTGGAACTATACTCAACATTTCTTTGGCAATGATGTGCAAATTACGATAGTTGTTCTACAGACCAAACCACCACTTAATAGGATCCTCGTTGTATAAAATATCCATTTCTAAGTACCTGTTTAATTTAATTATTGCCTTTGATTCAGGTGTCCCATTTGGAGAATGTTGCTCTCGAGCTCTCATCAACTGTTCCTAAAACATCCATTTGTTTTTTTCTTCTTCATTTTCACGTACTCCTTTCTATTTATTTTCATTTTCCCCTGTCTCAATGATTTTTCAGTCGTTTTAAATAGTTTTCGTATTACACATATGTGCTTCATTAATCTCTGTCGCGGTTTATGTGTTGTTTGGAACGAAGATGGAACGGAACGAGAACTGGAACGAATTCCAGTGGTGGAACATTCCGTTCCGGCAGTCAGAATTGCCTATCCCTACTAGGAACGCATTTCGTACAATAACGAAAAGATTGTCCTCCCTGCATTCTTCGATCTAAAAGTTTTGTTGAGTTCTCATGAGAACCATCGTTTCTTACCGTAATATAAGATGGCTCCAGTGTAATATAAGTTTCAGAGACTAATTTTGGGCTGAATAAAAATAAAACACTTCCCTTATAATCTGTTTTCGAGTTATAATCTTATAACCTGGTTTTCTAATCGGACCAGATGAGAAGGATGGGGATTAATGCCAGATTTATAAGTCCAGCCTGCACCGGGATTAAATATCGTTCGATATTCGGTTTATCATGTCTTTTGCTCCCGCGTTAGTCCTCACGCCGCTCGGACACAACGCCCCCACATCATTTTAAACTTTTTTTTTTTGTTCTGCCCTACCACGCCTTTTAGGCTATACGGGATCCCTACTAGCAACGCATATGTACAATAACGAAAAGATTTCTGCATTCTTCGGTCTAAAAGTTTTGTTGAGTTCTCATGAGAACCCTCGTTTCTTACCGTAATAT